TGTAGGGGAGCGTCCCCGGGGCTGGGTCAGTCCTGAACGGTCCAGGGAGATTTCCTAGTACAAACCAGAAGGCGGGAGACGCTCCCACGCCTGACCGCCGGGCGCCGTGTCCACACGCAGTTTCCGCTCCACCGGCACTGGCTTGCGGGGCGGGGCGGACGGTGGCACCAGTGGGGACGGCACCTAAAACAGCAAACGCACCACACGAAGGTCCGCGACACTTGTTTGAAAGGGTGAGTGACGGAAGATCGGATCTCTTCCGGAGGAGGTGGGAACAGTTCTGTCTTAAACATACACCATACTTAGGAGACGTCTTTTACTTAGAGTGGAAAATTATACTAGGGACAAAGTCAACACAAAGAAACGAACAACAAAAAGGAGCTGAAACAGAAACAGTCAAGTGCAGCCCGAGTCCGGCAGGTCACTCGTGCAGCCCGGGGTGCAGCCCGGGGTCCCCCCGGCGGCCCCGCGGGCACGGAGGAGTGGCCCCAGCAGGGGCCTGTCTCTGCTCGCGAGAACAAGCAGAGCTCCCTGTGTCTGCGCCAAGCGGAGCCCGCACCCAAGGGCCCATGAGGCTCCCAGCGTCCCGGGCGGAAGTGGAACGATCTGGAATGCCAGGACAGAAGGCGCGGCCAGTGCCCCAGTGCCCCAGTGCCCCAGCGTTCCCAGCGCCACGCCTGACAGCAAAACGCCGTCTGGCCGCCGGCGCCAGCCCCAGAGGAGCTGAGGGCGGCGTGGCTCCTGTGTGTCCCCTCGCGGAAGGCCGGCGGGTCTGCGGAGTGCAGAGCTGGGCGCCGGGCAGGGAGGCGCGGCAGCATCCGTCTCAGTGAGCGGTTCCTTCAGGTGTGACTTGTCTTTTCAAGGGTTTTAAGGCCACCTGGGTTTTGTGTTCTCAGTGCTGGGCAACCTCCAACCGCAGGGCCCCTACCCCCCAAGGACGCGCTCCGACCGTCGGTGGGAGGCAGTGTCTCCTTTTGGCACCAGAGTTGGCAGGAAGGCGGGAAAGCTCCCCAGGCGCTAGTTCTGGATGCCCTTCTCCCGGCCGGCCGCCGGCGCCGCGTCCACGCTCACGGCGATGACGATGCTCTCGCCGCCCTCCGTCCTGACCCGCTTCAGCTCCGGCTGCTCCGACTGGTCGCCATTTTGGCGCTTTGTGGGCAGGGATGCCGACGCTGATGCGTGCGTTGCCAGCATGTGCAGAGGACTTGCCGCTGCTGCGAAGAGACAGTGAGTCAAACCCCAAGGGAACCCAGGCACCCACTGGCTCCAGGTTCTGACCCGAGGGGCAGCTTCGCCCTCTGACCTGGATGGACCGAGGTGGCCAGCCGGGCCCCTGGAGACTGCGTGCTTGTGGGCATCTGTATGACAGATGAATCTCTTTCATTACTTCAAAGAGCGAGCCACCTGGACAGAACCCTGGGGGAGACTGAGGCCCAGGGTCAGGCTACTGCGGGACCAACAGCAAACGGCTTTGCTGTCGCAGCCTGGCCTCACGTCCACGCTGACGCTCCAATCCCTCTGCATGTGAGGCCGGGGGGTCATGGGGCGCAGGTGAATGGGGCCCAGGAGACCGGCCCCCCCTTGGCCTCCTCCCAGGCCCACCCGCGAGGGTTGCTCCCGAGCTTAAAAGTGCTGCTTCCTCAAGGCGAGCAAGTGGAACTGGGCTAAAGATCGGGGGGAAGCCACGCCCAGGAGACCCCGGCTCTTCCCCCTCCTCCACTTCCCCTCACGCCACGAGGGGGTTTAGGGCCCAGGCAGGTGGCCTGATCGAGATCCCATCTGCCAAGAGGCGTGCACGCACGCAAGCCCGAGTGCCGCAGGGTCCGCTGTTGGTGTCGCGGGCTGGGATGCACGCCTGCTGGGTGGTGTGGTGGCTCTGGGTGCCAGCAGTGCGCGCGCTTCGGCAGAGGTGCCCTACTTTGCATGGCACCTCCTGCAGCCCCGTCCCACGAACGGGACTGGAAGTTGAGTGAGGAGAGAGGGAGGCACGTGGAACGGACGCACCGCGAAGCCACAGGGCATCCTGAGCAGAGAGAGCTGATGGTGCCACCACGCCGGTGAAGCCCGGCCCGTCTCTAGGTCCCCACCACCCCAAGGGCCCAGCAGCCTCCTGTGTGAGGATCTATAAGTCCCGTGGGTCAGCTCTCCCTCAACAAGGCTGAAAAGGAAAGGAACCAGACTGGAGAACGGACACGTTCTGCCTGAACGTTTTACGAAGGCACAGGAATCAAGCCGCGAAGCCCGTCACGGGGGCAGATGCGGACCGACGAAGAGCCTGTCTGAGCGCAGACCACACACCTGAGGCCAGGAGACGATGCGCTGCCGGCATCAGGACAGATGTGAAAATCAATGACACAGAACTGAACCGAGCCCGTGCATCTGATTTTCAACAAGGGAGCTGAGACCACTCAGTGGAGACAGAACAGTTTCTTCAACAAAGTTGCCAGGAACACTGGACATCCACGTGCAAAAGAATAACGTCGGGCCTTACCTCGCATTATATAAAAAAGTTAAGTCCAAATGGATCAAAGACCGAAATGTAAGAGCTAACCCCTCAAACCGCCAGTGGAGCAAGGCGAGTCTTTAGGGCCTTGGACTTAGCAATGGCTGTGGCTACGAAAGCACGAGAAACAAAACGGGAAACAAACCAGTTGGACTTGATCCAAATGGAAATTTGTGCATTAAAGACATCGAAAAAGTGAAAAAACAAATGGGAGGAAACGTGCAAACCATGCATCAGAAGCCAGTTCCAGAATACGTCAGAGCTACAGCGCAACAAGACAATCCAACGAAAACATGGGCAAAGGACTGGACGCCTCTCCCGCCAACAAGCGCGCGGACAGGTCTTGGTGTCCCGCAGTGTTAGGTTCTCACGGCTGAGAACGCAAACATTTCCTCAGACGAAAATTAAAATTCTAACAGTCGGAACCAAAACGCTGAGCGCCACCCTTGTGGAGGGAGCACGAAGCAGCCTCCCCGCTACCCCGCTCACCATTGTTCGCCTGGCCGTGGGCAGCGCTGGGGATGGGCACCACGTGAGTCCCGTTTTGCGTTACAGTTTTTATTGGTAGCTGGTGCTGACCCAGAGGTGCCTGCTGCACTATGGTGACCGTCTGGACAGGAGGAGCCTGTGACGTCTGAATGACCCGGCTGGCAGTGCCCAGTGTGGCATGGCTGATCGCAGGAATCGGTTCTACTTTCACTGAAATTAAAAGAGCAGAGTGACACCACTGGTCCCCGCAGGCGGCTGACAGAGACCTGCGCGTTCCCAGCGCAGTCGGCGGGCGTCTGAGGGTACGGAAAGCGCCCCGCGACGGCCCCGCCGCTCACCTTTGACTTCGCGGTGCTCGCCATTCTCTTGCAGCTCTGCCTTAGGAGGGGCCAGCACAGCCGCCTGGGTGACCACGGCCTGCCCGGCGACGGTGTATGTGCTGGCTGGAGCCAGGCCGGCCACGCTGGTGACAGACACTGCCGGGATCTGGTGGACGACGTGAACTGTCTGCACCACGGGCTGCTGGGAGGTCGAGGTGGTCACAGGGGCGGTAACAGTGTAGGTGACGGGCTTGATGGTCGGGGGCAGCTGCCGCTGCACAGTGATGAGAACGGGCTGGCTGGACAGAGGTGAGCCTGCCAGGGACGACGGGGCAGGCGTGAGGCTTCTGCATCCTGGCTTCCTCCCGCCGGTTCCCAAACCCGCCAACTGCCACCACACACTGAGGACAGACTGACGACGGACGCAGCCCCTGCACCGCGTGCCAGACCCTCAGCGGGGTAGCTGGCTTGTCTGAGCGCTAACGGCACGGTCTCCGCTCTGTGCACGCTGCTCACAGCAGCTCGTCCCCCAGTTTTCCTTGTGAAAAAGCACCGCTGACGTGGCTGGAGGAGACTGCCCTCTGAGGCCCGACTGAGGCCACGCTCCCCTGGGATGGAAGTCTCCACCGCCCAGGGGGTGCAGCGCGCAGACGGGCCGCGGTAAGCTCTGCCAGGGTAAAAGGGGGAATGCGCGGAAGACAGGAGCGACGGGGGGTGGGGGTGGGGGTGCCAGCAGGGCCAAGAATGGCGACATCAGAAGGCAAATCCTGCCGGCCAGTCAGGCGCACGGCAGGGCAAGCCCAGACACACCACACACTGCGTGTGTGTGCTGATTCCCCAGGGCACACACTTTTATTCTGCACGGCGACTTTAAGCTGCCAGATGCTCGCCTAGTCATCAAATGAGTACTTTCTGCTGCCGGTCAGTGTCTAGTTTACCTCAGGTTATCTCCTTTGGGGGGATCTTTTTCACAGGTTTTTGAATGACGAAGCAACGGAAGCGGGTTAATGCTAAGTTATTTCAGGCATCTACACAGCTCACACAGAAGAGCGTTCAGTCATGCTTTAAACGCTCAGTGCTACCAGTTTTCAGAGCCTGTGAGGCAGCGCTCAGGTGTGTGCAGAGGGTCTTAGGCCCACGGCACACAGGACCGCTGGTCCCGTGACGAGTCCCCCCCGGCCGTGCCAGCCCCCGGCAGCTCACCTGGTGCGCTCTGGGCGAAGCGCGCCTCCTGGATGACAGCGAGCTTGGGCTGCGCGGCGCCAGGCTCAGGCTCCAGGGGCGCCGGTGACCCTTCCCTCGACAGGCTCTCGGGCGTCTGGGCGCCGCTGGAGTGAGCGGACAGCACTCCGGCGTGGTTAGGGGAGGCCGGGGCACTTCTGTGTTGTCAAAAAGACGACAGGGGATCTTTAAAGGTGAAGCGCTCATACAGCTGCCTTGTTCTAATAACGTGTATTTTGCAAAAAAAGGGGTGTCATTTGTCTTCCGCCAACCGACTATACTCCCCTAAGTCCTCCTTTCTCTGTGAACACCAGGGACTGTCAAGGACACTCGGCGAGACTCGCTCGGCTGTGCCGGGGCCGCCGTGTGCCGGGCACCGCTGCTGCAGGCCCCGGGGGACTGGCTGCCCTCTCTCCACGCGCCTGTCCACAGTCAGGCAGTGGGAGCCGGCCGTGTGAGAGCGGGTGTGGGCTGCTGACTCAAGTTACGGTCACTTCGTTTGTTTAAAAACAGTACGTATTAATAAAGCTAAAAATATGTAATTTTAAAATTGGGCAATAACATTATGCAAATCAATCTTGAGTTTAAGCCGCTAAAAGATTTTAAAGAGCCTCTCACACACCAACAGAAAGGAGACACGACCCATCCCACGGCCTGGCTCTGCTGCGTAGCGACTTGTCACGTTACAGTACGCAGCGAGTCGCTGACGCGGCAACCGCTGCGTGCGAACGGGGTGTAAGTGAAACTACAAACAGCCCGAACCGTTTGGGGCGCCAGGAACAGAAACACAGCACTGGCACTTTTTTTTCAAATCCCCATCCCAACCTTCAATCAGAATGCATTTGGTAGCTCCTTCATTTTCAAAAGGAAAAGTTACCAACACATTGAGGTGAACGTACCGACCATTCAGTGAGGTCTTCCTGTTTGCCTTGTCCTTACCTAGACGAGAGTGGTCCCACAGGGGTTCTAAAGCAAGGCACGCCCCTAGGCCGTCTTTTCCTAAAAGCCTGCTCTATTAATTTGCTCTCAGAGGCAGGGTCTATCCTCCAGAATGAGCCTTTGCCTGGTTCTTCCTGGGAACGTGGTACTTTGATGAAATAACGATTCAGAGAGAGATTGTGGCGAATTGAATTCTATGAAACATAAAAAAATACGTAGAATTCATATATTTCTTTGCTGAGAAAGAAAAATGTGCTTCATTTTAGTGCCCTGCAAAGCAGGAACCTGAAGGCAGCGCTGTGCTGGAAGGGGCTGGCCCCGCCCCTCAGCGGCTCCGCCACCTGCAGACAGGCTATTTCCAACAGGAAAGCATCGGCTCCCAGCTTCTTTCCAGGTAGGAAACCAAGGACCAGCGCTGTGGTCACCTTTCCTGCTGCCCTTCCTGTCTAAGCCAGTCCTTTCTAGTACTTTCTGAGCACAGATTTAGCTTACAGAAACTGTCATAGCCACTGAAAATCCCGTATAAAGTACCTGGCAAAGCAACAAAGGAGGAAAGTGAGCCCAAGGCTGGGAACAGCCCTTTGCCAAGTACGATCAGAGACGGTTTTCACTGGAGCCTCACGATGACCTCAGGAGGCTCGTGGACAAAACCTCTCAGCTCCGGCTCCACCCTTTCTGCCACAAAAAGGCCGGCCCGATTCGAGGAGCGCTCCCTGCTGCAGCCCAGACTACACAGGAGGAGACATGACCCCGTGACCCCACGGGGTCAGGAAAGGCTGGGTGCGAGCGCTGCACGCAGTGTCTCCCACCCGCCCGTTAATGTTCACGCTGAAGATGGATCAATTAAACCATTAAGCGTCTAAACGGTAAAAGTGCAGAGAAAATTCTGGGTTTTCCAAACGTCATTTCTGAACTCTCCAGTTAACCTAATCCAACAGCTAATCACAGCCTGAAATTCCGAAGTTGCAATGGCAGCTCAGAAACCAGAAAGCATCAAATACCACTTGACAATTAATCTAGGTGACTGTTGGGGTGCCACACCAGTCACAGGCCGTGATGAACTCCGTGAACGCCTGCAAAAGTCCGTTACGTCATCAGCAACGTGAAGGAGGCGGCTAGGCTGTGTCTGTGATTTATGAAATTGTTGATGCACGAACACACGAGATCGAGGCTATTTTAGTAACGGTGGACACCTACTATGTTTACACAGGGTTTAGCTGGCGACCACCCACACCCTCCAATGGACCCCTCCACAAAACGGAAGCTGCCCCACCAGAGAGAGTGGACAGCTCAGGCTGCACTCGGGCCTAAATCAGATCAGAAGGCAGATTCTCCGACTGGGGGTTCCGGGGTCCCTCTGACCATGCCGTTGGGAGCATGGCTCCTTGGGGGGACCTCAGAAGTGATGGCCAAGCACAATACAGAACGGCATCTGACAAGGGAGGTGGGGGCCCCCAAGTGAAGGCGCAAGCGCACTGACGGATGCGGAGTGGGTGGCGGGCACGTGGCCAGGGGGAAAGGGACGTTGGCACACGGGGCATCTGGGGTGGGAAGTGCTGCTGCAGGGGGCTGGGGTGCTAGCGTTTGATGGAGGAGGACAAGGCCAGGGCTAGCAACGCTGCTTCGCCTGCAGAGCAGGTTCAGTGGTCGGGGAGGCCGGGTTCTGTCCGAATCGTGAGGGAGCCCAGGCTGCTCCCAGCTGAGGGCCTCGCTGCCCCGCTTCCTCGCCGCCCTGACAGCAACGCCACGGTCAAATGAGGCACCGTTTATAGTCACCTGCGATTTTTCAGCCAACGAGACTTAGGAAATGTGACAAAACAGTAAGATACATTTAACTCGACACAAATTCGATCGAACCGAGCTGCATCAGTTAGGACCATACTGACCGGGACACTAGCGATCCCAAGGTGACTGTGCAGTACTCGGGGAAGAGGCGGGTGTCGTCCTTCACAGCCAAATATGGAGAAAAGTTCCCCCAAACCCTGGCCTAACTGTGGTGGCTCCCACCCCTCCTGGCCCGGAAGGCTACTGCAGGGAGAGGTGCAAAGCTGGTCAGTTACTGGCGCCCCCCCCCCGCCCCCTGCCGCACTGTCCCTGCCGCACGTGAGCCTGTGCAGAAACGAGAGATCAGGACGCACGTGCAGCACCTCCCGGGAGGCCCAATGTGCAGGGTGAGGGGAGCACCAAGCACCCCTCCACGTCAAGACACTAGTGTGGGTGCCGTCGGAGGCTGAGCGCCCCAGAATTCTCAAACGTTTCAGTCACAACAAATGCCTCAATTCTGGGTTGGGTGAAACTATAATTATAAATCATAAGAAAACATCTTGGCATAAATATGCCACCAAAGGAAATGCGCCAGCTCTCCAGATAGGGTTACTCAGACCATCTGTTTTGTCCTAGAATTTCCTCTAGATTAATCAACAAGCTCTGCTATGGGGCAGACAGAGCTACACACCAAAAGTCAGTGTGACAGGGAGCCGTGGGCGCCCACTGAGTGCTGAAGGCAGGCGTGCTGGGACGCACCAACACTCCCTCTGAGGGACTGGCGCCGAGCTCGAGGCTCAAGCGCCCTGGGGCGCGCTGACAAGCACTGTGATGCCACCTCCCTGCCCTGGGAGGGCAGGACACAGTCTGGACAGGCGCAGGTGAAAAACGTGCTGTTCCGGTGGACTGCTTTTCCTCCAAAGGATCCAGCTCTTTTTGGAAACAAGGTTGCAAACTGGAGAGGATTTTCGTTTTACGGGAGGGAATGGGGATGAGGTCGCACAGGTAGAGAGAGGCCGGCAGTGCAGGCGCCTGGGAAGAGTTCACTCAGTCACGACCAGGGCACCTGCGGCTCGGCACGGGGGACGCCGAGGAGAAAGGAATCGAGGGGCCTGCCCGAAACTAAAGGGACCCCGGGAACCAGGCGTGACACGTCCCAAGAGTGGCCTGACACAGGGCGAAGGCGCGGCGCCACCTCACGGACCTGGGTCTAGACACGAAAGTGCCACAATAAAAACAAGCGTCAGTGACAGCTAGAGAGAAGGGCCTGACTTGCAGTTCTGACTCTAAGTCTCCGCTCCACGCGGGCTGTGAGGTCGCCCCCCGGAGCCGCAGCCACCAGTGCGGCTGGCCCAGCGCCTCGCCTCGCTGCTTGGAGGCGGCTGGCACTCAAACGGGTGTCAGGAGACACCGGGGGGACCGTCCGATGCTGCCCAGTGCCCCCCACGGGCGCCAGGCAGGGTTCTCCTCTGCCCCTTCCTTCTTCCCTGGAGCATGACCTCACCGTGCTGAGAGGCTTCCTTGTGCAACCGTGAAACCTGCCTGGCAGCTGGGCCCGGACGGGCGTCCTCGCTCAGAGCAGGGCGCAGCTGCCTCAGGCCAGGGCGCAGCCTGGGTCTCACTTTGCACCTGGCACGACTACAGCCCCTGACATAAGATCCCTCAGGAGGGGAATGTTCGGCATTTGGTCGATAGACTATTTATTAAACGTTTACATGTCTGCAGGTAGAAGGAAAAGGGTTTACTCTCCATTGAACAGAAAACGGTTACCCCCACCGCCCACATCACTGAGTTCGGTTCGACAGACACGTTTTTCAAAGACTCATTTACTCACTAAGCCTCAGAGTAACTAGCCATTCCTAGTTACTTAATAAATCTGCAAGTTATAAATGTATACTTCTCTTTTGTTACTCTTTTAACAGTCTATATTTCAAACTTACCCTTTCCCACACTGACTGAACTGGTTGAAGGCCTACTGTACATCTGGGAAATGGCCACACGTAATAGGTGCACAGAACAAGGAAACCTACACACTGCGGTTTTGAAAAACTAAATTAAGAAGCCAATCGCTAGAAATATCACATGCTGATTTCAAAGTGCCCTCTGAGGAGGCCCTGGTTGGATACCCTAAGGAGACAAGTGGGAGGCTCCTCACTTCAGACGAGGGAGCGTGCCATTCATCTGCTCCATGTCGTGGCCAACGGGAGGGGGTGTCTTCTGAGGAAAGGGTTTATCAATAAAACAGCGTGGGCGCCATCTCTGGGCACACTTCAGAAAGCTACGGATGTCAGCAGACGCGGATGGGGGACAGAGGAGAGGCAAAGTGAAGGGTGGGCCAGGCGTCCAACTCCCTCCCCTCAGCCGCGACATGAACCACACTGGCAGCCCCTCCAACACCCCACACCTCCCGCCCACGGGCACCCAGAGAGTAAAACTTGTAGGCTGAGAGTTTCTTCTAGAACACTATTCCTTCTGCTCTGTGCCCGGGGGCAGCAAGAGCAACAGCAGGCCCATCAGCAGGAGAGGGTCTCGCGCACCTTGTCTACCTTCCCCACCTGTACCCTAGCCGCTTAACTTCCCCTCAGCTGTCCAACAGCATCCACAAGGCATGTGACAAATATTCAATAACAAACTGAAACGGATTTACCTGCCAGCCCTTGTCCGCAGTCCTGTAGTAGGGATAATTTTTAGTGATGTGCGTATAAATTCCATTTAGGGTGAGCTGTTTATCAGGAGCCATCGTAATTGCTTGTACAATTAACTGTGCATAGGAATAAGGTGGCTTTGAGTCATCCTGTATTTCAGTTAAAAAAAAAAAAAAGAGAAAGTATTGAAATTATCAAAATGTTTACTAAATTTACTAAAATTCAGGGTCCTTGGTGTTTTTTAAGTGTTCCTGTGAGAATGCTTCGTCTTCTTTACTATAAAACATAATCAAGAAGGCATTTGGGATATGTAGAGAAAACAAGTGAAAAAATATACACCAACATAAAGAAAATGTTAAAACTGTATTAAGATTAAGTCCAAGTGGCAAGAACGAAAAAAATATGATCAGAAAAGCGCTTCCTCCCAGGCCCTGCTGGGTCCCCGTGTACACGTGGTAGGGGCGGGGGGGCCACGCGGGGCAGGAGCGCTCAGCACCATAGGGCCCAAGTGAAGACCACTCAGACCAAGAGCGTCCCCCAGGCCCCCAGCCGAGGGGCTGCTCCCGCAGGAAGCCCCAGGCAGCGGTGAGCGCCAGGAGCCAGCCGCGGACTTCCAGTACCAGGGTCTGGAGCAGTGGTGGGCGTGGTGCTGGGGGCAGGCCACCGGCCTCCCCAGTGCGGGCATGCTCCAGGCCACCAGTGGCTCCCGGCCACTGTGATGGCTCAGGACCCCACCATGCACAAGCCCACTGGGAAACAGTCCACACGGGAACCGCAGAACATGCACTGACGCAAACAGTAAACTGCAAAAGAACACATTTAGGATCGTACCTGTCAGAGGAGGCCTGGGAACGGACAACGCGGACACTGACTACAGACACACACAAATGACATAAAGGCGGAAATGGGCAGAAGACAGACAGACGGACTGGGAAGGAAGGCGATGTGTGGGCCCGGACTGCACAGGGCACATGCTGTGCACACGGACTGGTCACCTAGTGGCCCAGCTCCCCTCTTGAAAGGACCTTTCCTGAGCTTGGGCCAGGTCCAGCGCGGCCGCTCAGGAGAGAGGTGTGGCAGGGCGCAGAGGCCAAGCTGTAGACCAAGTGGGCAGCAGGCACAGAGCACCACGCCGTCCTCCTCGCTGTCCCTAGGCCGTGTTTCCCTATCATCGTTCCTCTATACACTTTTAACGTTTTTTATTGAGAACTGTAATACAGAAAAGCTCGTGATACAGCCAAGTAGACTGAAAACAAATTTTTATAAATTAACCTCAGTACAACCGACACTAGACTAGGTCAAAAGCGAACACAATCCACATCCCAGAAGCTTCCACATGCGCCCACGGCCCACAGCCTCTCCCTCCCAGAGAGGCCACGACTGTTCTGGATACTCAACAGCATCGCTGTCCTGCTGTGATTTGTTATGAGTTTTGCCATCAGGAATGTGTCTTGCACCAACGTGATTAGTTCCGCATGATCTTAATCGGGCAGATGGACACTCATGTCCCCAGGGTGCCCGTGTGCAGGGCTCCTGGCTGCCGTGGGAGGTGGCGCGTGGCCAGGCCCCGTCATTCCCGTGGCTGGGCGGTCTGGTGTGAATACGCCCCGTCTCATGAGCGTGCAGTCGGAGGGACACTGCGGCGTTCTGTTCTGCTGCTTCCACTTAGCAGTGCGGAAAGAGCCCCCCCGTGCCAGCAAACACGTCGCACAGAGCTCCCTGACTCGATCGTTCTTCCCTTATGGGACCTTTAGGGTGCTTTCAATTTTCTGTTTCAGAAACTTTTGAGATTTCTGCCCATTTCCTTTAGACAAATCCGAGAAGGGAAGTTACTGAGTCAAAGAACGAGAGCAGAGCCTGCGGGGCCACCGTGCGCCCCAAGCGTGGCCGCGTGCATGCGTGTGTTCAGACAGGACGAAGGCCCAGGAATGGTTTGCTGGGACTCACGAGGACCAAGGGTTTCTCTTGCACCCCACTGTCTGCTCCGCTCTCAGCACCTGGGCCCACAGCTGCCCTGGAAGACCTAGTCCTCAATGACCGAGCGACGTGTTTGCAAGATGCTCGGCCACGGCCAGCCCCACAGCCACCTGGGGAGCGCCTCACTGCCACAAGGCGGCCACACCTCACCAAGGCCCTGGTGGGGATGCTACGGGACATGGGCGACGGGGCGAGGGCAGCTGGCCCCACAGTGGCCCCTGGGTTCTGTTTCAAGCCTACAAAACATTTACCTTCGGGCTGTCTCCACCTGAAGCGTCCTTTTCATTTTCTGGCTGTGAGCTGTCGGCCATCAAACTGAGGTCAGATGGCACCACGCGGCCCGCCTTGTACCCTGACGACCCTGCTCCCCGGGGGCTGGATGGGCAGGAGTTTGCAGCACTGTGGACGAGAGAAGATTGTTCCCATCAGTCTACTGTGCTTCAATAACTGGTTCCGAGTTCCGAGAACAGACTGCAGACGAGAACATCGACCTCTCCTGTGGAGAAACAAACCCGTGGAGCTCGCGATCGCCCTGAGCTGTGGAAACTGGGCACTTGCTTCCACGTGTCATCTTACATAACCGAAAAACCAACTCTCAAAGGAAGGAGGGCTCACCTATTCCACCCGTGAGGAAATGGCAGTTCAGGACACTTCCGGAACTCACCAAGGGCAGGGCCACATGTGATGGCTCCAGGGCTCCTGCCTGGCAGAGGGACACAGCACACACTCTGCTCGCTCCCTCTCCGAGGAGCTGAGGATAGTCTGCGCAAGATGCGGCCTCCAGCTACCCTCGAAAGGTCAGGGAGAGTCGGGGCGAGGGCAGCCAGGCTGAGGACGGGGGTGCAGCAGGGGAGGGGACCGCAGACAGACACACACAGGCTGCGGCAGGCTAGTTAGGGCACGGCCAAGGAGGAGGGAGCCCAGTCTCAAACACGCACTTTCTCTCACGGGCTCGGGCTGGGCACCGGGAATGTTCTGACCCCTGATCTCTGCGCTGACTCAAGGCCACGTTCGTCTGTGATAATTCACCGAGTCTGTGCTCCCTTTTCCACACAGCATTAAACTTGAAAGAGAACAAGCTATTGAAATGGAAGGGTACCGAGCTAAGGTTGTTTTAAAAATTCAGTAAGTCATAGGATAGTTTTATGGTTAGATCTCGTTTTGTATGAAAGAAAAAAAAAGACAAGTATTACAAATGTAAAGAAAATTTCTGGAAAAAATACCTACTAAACAGTAGTTACCACCCAGAAACTGAACTGGCAAGGAAGGGCCGGGATGTGTGGGGGTGGGGGGGAGCCCCAATGCGATGGCTGCGCCCTCGGCAGCCCTCCTGAGACCCTCTGCCGTGAGCACACACGGTCAGGACGCACAGCCACCCGTTCCACGAGCACTGACTGCACGGACTCTCCGTGATCTGAACACTAGCTCACGGGTAAGACGTGTGGCCGTGGCCTGGGAGAGTGGCCCGACCGCCGGGCGACGAGTTTGGAAAAGGCCAGTCGCTCCACCCGCCATCTGGCCCAGCAGGGGTGTGGGCGGGTGCACGCTGGCGACGGCAGGACGCAGGTCGTGGGAGAAGAGGGCCAGGGGAACAGGGTGGAGACAGAGCAGGGCCAGGAGAGGCTGGGGCAGGGGCTGAAGCCGCGGCCCCACGCTGTGCGCACAGGCTTTCTCCTCGCCCCACGAACGCCGCGCTCCCCCCGCGCGGGACACACTCCTGGCCGTGGGGCTGGTGGCCCTCGGTCCACACGGCCACAGGCAGACGAGTCAGCTCCCTGGGAGACAAGCGCTTCCTCGGCAGAGCTGGCGTGGACAGGAAGGCAGGGAGGAGCCAGCCTGGTGCAGGCGCAGGCGCAGGACAGCAGTGAGCCCACTGGCCACCCGTCTGCTGACCCATGTGCGCGGCACAGACACCCTTCCGAGGGCGGCTACTGGTGCTGCTCTTCC